TTCCTAAATAAATTATCAGATCTCGAACCAAAGTAGAGATATTGTATAAATATACTTCTATCACCCTAGTAGTAATGTAAGTTGTATTTTAAGATTATCAGTTAGATACTTTTAAGTTAATTATAAGTAGATATAACAATTTTGACAAAAGTAGAGTGTATTAAACCCTGATCTTTGCATTGTCCTATTAAAATGAAAATTTAAAAAATATCTAATTTGTAATTTGGGTTTAATGCCAGCGTATAATTTGTATTACAGTGATGATCAGTTAGAAATAAACTTTGTCAGTACAACTCATTGAAAATAGTGTACTACAACCATTTCCAGATGACACCCAGAGTAGCATCATATTGTGTCAACAGATGTAATAATAATAATAATAATAATAATAATAATAATAATAATAATAATAATAATAATAATAATAATTAATAATAATAACAATAACAATACAACATTTTCATGCTTTGTTTTTTATCTCATCATTATTCACAACTAACGCAGGGCGATGGATATTTGTTTTAGAGTGCTTCAAACTCATGGTTAAAAGGTTTGTATGTGTGAAAATGCCAAACAAAGTAAATTGTTATTAACATAAATCTGATGCAGTTCATGCAGAGAACGACAAAAAAACGTTAAAAATATACCTGGAAGAACAACAGATACGAACCAATGACGCAATGTATTGACACACTTAAATTCAAAATACTAAAACCATAATATGCAATTACGAGTAAGACATTTCCAATTATATATCGAGGTGTGACATCAGTTTATAGCATTATATGAAAGTATACATTGAAAATCTGTAATGAACCTGTATTTCAATATTTATGGTTCAAAACCGGAAACCCTGATGCGCGGCAAAGAAATTTTGAAAAATTGTAACACTTACTTAGTTTTAAACTTTAACTGCATTAATTCACAACACAATACTTTATAGTAGATGCAAGAATATTGCAGTGGTTCATTTCTCTTATGTTAGTACAGAAATGTATGGATATCAAACACTAGTTGGCTGATTTGAGCATATTTTAAGGTACTAGCAAATCCTGCAGCTTTGAGAAGTAAATATGGTAGGCTTAAATTGTGAAGGTGTGGTAGGGTAAATCATGTAAAATTTAATTACTTTCATTGAATTTAATAGAATTAAACAATTACTTAAAAATTCGAAATTTACCGTGCATCATACACCAAAATTCATCTATAACAAAATAAGCTAATCAAGTTAATGGGTTCATATTCCATTTATAAAGGGGCAAAAATTCTTTTCTTTTTAATTTTAACATTTAATTCTTAAAAATTAATTTTTTTGATAATATTATTCTCAGGTTCAATAATTTTTATTAGATCTAATTCATGACCAGCCACATGAATAGTACTATAAATTATTAGCTGCAAACTTAACAAGGGATAAAAACCAAAATCTGTAGCTAATTTGTTGTCAAATAATTTTAATTACATGGGAGCGAATATTTTCTTAATCAATCAATGCCAAAATCCTCGTTCGTACCTGCATTCATAATTCAACTAATGTACACTACTGGGAAATGAAAAAAAAACATGAGGAAAATAACTGAGAAATGTCACATTTGCACGGGACACTACAAGAGGGCAGTTAATTTGATGATTAAAATTGCAGCACTGCAGGCAAACCAGGAATCACGTTATCAGCCGTGGAACGCTGCAAGCTTCGCAGCAATAGTTCACCTTGAGAACCAGTAGCCACTATGAGAATCAGTTTGCCATGGCAAATGTTCCTTCGTCTGTGTTTGCAAGCAGTGTTATTAGCACGGCTCGGCAGTGTAGACCTGCGGCGTTTGTGCAATTGACGAAGTTTGAGCTAGGGCGTATCCGTAGGACGCTGGGTGATCATGCCGTAGAATTGCGCAATATGTGAGGCGAGAGGTCTCCACAACGCATCAATGTTGTCGCCGTCGGTCAGCAGAATGTGCTCGTGCCCGTCAGCCTGGATCTGGTCAGCTACAACGCACCCAGTCACGCCAAGATCGGCGCATCTTACGAAACGCTGCATCGGACCCCAGCGCGACTTCATTATAAATTATGGTCCCTGTTGTTCCGGGGATGCAAGGACCATTCTCAACAGTCGCCGTGAAGCCAGGCTAAGTTAATGTGACATTGTGCGTCTTCTGCTCACGCTCCATCATCGTGCAGTCCGCTTCCAGTGGTGTCGAGTTTGGCGCGTACGGGAGGACGAATGGCGACTTGTCTTCAGTGATGAGAGTCGCTTCTGGTTTGGGGCCAATGACGGTCGTATGCATGTGTGGAGTCGTGCAAGTGAGCGCCTACGCCTGGAGTATAGAACACAGAGGCACACAGGGGCACATAGGCATACTTGTCATTATAGTGTGGGGATCCACATCGTTAAATGAGCGTTCTCCTCTGGTAATCGTGCAGGGAACATTGAACAGTGTACGGAACATCCAATACATCATTCAACCTGTCGTGCTACCGTTGAAGGCATACACGAACAACCGGATTCCTTCTCCATCCGGACAATGCACGTCTACATGCAACTTTTGCCAGCCATCATGGTCTCCAAGGTGGACGTCAACTACCCTGGCCAGCCAGATCCGCAGATCTGACCCCCGTTGAACATGTTTGGAGGTGGATGAAACGTCATATTGTACGCTCTGCAAGACCGCCGGGAAATCTGTCTCAAATGAGGCATCAGGTGCAAATTGCATGGCACGTCATTCCGCATGACCACATTCGTTACCTCTACGATCGCCTCTTCGGGAGAATTACATCCTGCATTGCTACAGAGGATTGTACAGAATACTAGCTCTGACATTTCGCACGCCCTGTCAAAAATACTCATATGTGTAAAGCTTTGTCGATTTGATCGTTTGTCGTATACGTCCTCGAGAATGTGTCAATAAAATTTCACTCTACTGGGTCCACGGTGATCTTTTTTCATTTTCTAGAGTATTCGGGTTGGAGTTGGTATCCTAAAACTTGTACAGATGGCACTTCTCCTACATAGTATGTAACACAGTTTGTAACTGTTTTGACGTTAAATTAATAAATAAGAAAAGTAAATAAATAAAATGAAAAAATGAATGCACGAATCATTTCACAAATTTCTAGTGTGAATGTTATTCTCATTTCAGATAGAATACAGCAATTTCAAATGTGCAAAGAGAAAAGAGAACTGCAAATTCTTAGCCAGGAAAGAATGGAAAGAATTACATCGATGAAAACTGGTGCCAGAGTACACACACAACGTATGAACGTATTCACAATGTATATTCGTTTGTATGTTTTCGTGCTAAGCTGAAGGCAACTATTTACTTGGCACTCACCTCTGGTGACTAATTTAAAATTGAGTCCCTAGAGATCAGAAAAATTTGTATTTTTTTCAGTAAATGAAAATACCACATAACATTATTAATAACAGTTTTAATGCATTTATTTCTTTATTCATTTACTTAAATGCATTATTATTAATTACCTAAAAATTATCATTTTTCAAGAACATGTTTTCCTCTTGATGAGCCTAACAGAGAATACTCTTTACTCAGATTGAAAATTGAAAACAAGGATTGCATAATCTGAATTTAAGGAGCTTCTCCTACATTATTTAACTATTAGTGATATTATCCAACAAATAAACATTCGATTCCTCACATACGGCCAGGGATATCACAAAAACTAATTTTTACTTAAGTAAATTGTATATTTTTTATGTTACTGAAATACTTTACACTACAATGTTGGAGCCCCCTGAAAAAGAGGATTCTGATTCCAAATCCAGGTAGCTCGTGCTTCAAGACGGCACTGAGTAGAGTAAATACTCGGATATAATAATAAATAATCACAACAGGCGTCTGAAATATATCGTAAAGAAACGCGAGTAGTTTTAGGAATTATATGAATTGATGTTATAACCAATATCTACGTCACGTTAAACAAAGGGAAAATGTTTTCCAAAATATACCTTTATGGCCCACTCTATATAAAATTTGCACCTAATATGACAAAACTATCCTATTAAACAGTACTTGAATTTTAAAAAAATTAAAATTTTATGAATATGATTTCCTTATTTGATTTAATTAACTTACGTCTAATAAGAAAAAAGAATTTTCAATGTTCTGCCAATTGTCTTTAGCATTACACAGTGATTACAAGTGATAATGTTTTATATTGCCATTATAATATTAATATTATTATACATGCTGTGTACAGGGGTTGGACAAAATAATATGAACAGCATGCAATATATTAGCACTTTCCTTGAATCAATATACCTACTTGCAAATAATTTGTGTAGTTTATAAGGTTGCTGAAAAATGCAGTAACTTACATAACACAATAATGAATGTTCTTAGACATAGTGAAAGATCAAGTTCAGAAGAAGAGGGATAAATTTAATTAGAGGAAATATAGGTGTCAAAGATAGTTGGAGAGAGCAGGAGAAACAGAAGATTCAAATATATTCATGGGATTACTGTTTTTTGACGAAACGGAAATAAAGAAATGGAATGTGAAAATGGAAGGAGGGAGGCAGAGAGCAGACTCACAATAAATGAGAGGTAGCGTTGGGACATATAGTTTAACACAATACATTAACATATTACATAGTTTAACACAAATATTTTAACCAATTGCCAAAGATAAGAAGGAACAAACGAAAACTCATGGCATTTTGGGGCGGCATGGGAACCATGGTGGCCATGCCCCCTCCCCCAAGGATCCGCCACTGGTTGGGAAAGAGACGTTGTGAGAGAGGCGAAGTGAAAGAAAGGATGATGGAGACAGGGAGTGACAAGTCAGGGAGACACAAGAATGAAGACTGAGCAGGACAGAAAGTGACAGGGCCAAGGAAAGATAGGACAATAATTTAATATAAACTGTAAAAGTAATTAACAAAAAAATTAATTCAATATATATATATATATATATATATATATATATATATATATATATATATATATATACACACACACACACACACACACGAAACATGTACTCACTCTGTGTTGTAGGTTGACTTGATGATTTCGTTATGTCTATGAAGCAATCTCGTCCTTTAGTTATCTTCACATCATCAATAGCTATATCGCTCATGTAACTCCGACCTATGATTGCTTCAATTACTATCTATAACAAGAAATTTGAATATAAGTATATTTAAATAAGGTTTCATATTGCGATAATACGTGGTAGTAATTAAATTTGTGCATCTTTACCTGAAATGGTTTATTCACAACAGTCAAATTCATAATCCCAACCAACCATTGATTTCCTTGTTCTCCTGATTTATGAAATATCCGTGTCATGTTAGTTGCAGATGTTTGCAATTTTTGATACACATTTAGGTCTCCTATAAATTAAAAATTAATTTAAAAACGTATTTCAGTATTTTTCATTTATATACTAATTTCAAGCATTATACTAACTTGAAAACATTAAAACTATTTATTTATTTAACGTAAAAAAACCGTTCAAACTGAGTGTACTTTGGGTTATGAGCTCTGGAATCCCCTACCCGAACACATATACTAAATTATGTTGAAACATAGCCCTCTAGAATGGCTTGTGGGTAGCGTTCTAGTTTCCCGTAGTGTGTTCCCCGGTTCGAATCCTGGCCGAGTCTAAAATAGTGTTGTAGCATTCCTTTAAAATCGTTCCAGTTTATGTAGTTGTGTGCCGGAGAAAAGTTAGGCATGCGAATCGTTCTAGTTACAGTAAAGGGAATACTTCATGCTCGTCACAAGTCGCTCTTACCCCCAAGCATGGAAATTTAACTACGCCCAGGCATGGGGGACGCTTAGCTGGTGGGCCAAGGCGGACTGCCGAGCTAAAATACCAAATACATAAAAATTGTCTCATGGCACAAACGTGAACAATCCAGCATCAGTTGCAACACTCTTCAACAAATATTTTTCGAGAAATGCGCTTGATTTCACGAAGGATCTAAAATTACACAATTCAACATCAGATATTTCCCCCCCAAAAATCGACATGTGTTTCTGGGAGCTCTTCCGCGGATATTTTCAAAATAATCGAAAGGTAAAAAATAAATGTTCGATCGGTGTTAATGAATTACCGGATTGTTTGTTAAAGAATTTTGTGCCTACCATTATATACCTGTTACTCTCTATATATTGAACCTATGCCACCTTTATAAGTGTATTTTACTCTTATTTTTGCAAAAAATTTAAAGAAACATTTGGAGCAGTTTTTGAGAAAATTTTGAAAATATCCGGGGGACTTCATGTAAATTTTAAAGAATGTTTTTCAAAATCTCAAAGCTTCTACTCGAGTCAGATGAAGAGGGGTTTCTTCAATTTGGAACAACTACGAATGGTTTCGGGGCAGTTGTGTTCACAGACGGACGGACGGACCGACAGATAAGACGGACGGACAGACACAGACACGCGTTTTAAAGAACAAAATTCGGAGGGACCCTAAAACGTGTATTTCCTTTGAAATCTGGAAATAGATTTTCCGCAGTATTACATAACTTTCCCTATACTACGTATATTACGCCGTATATACGTAAGTATACGGAAAAGTTAAAATTCCAGCCGTTCTTGAGAAACTTTTGAAAATGATGTTGAGGCTTCATGTAAAGTCAAACCTGAAAAATCAAAATATCCGTTTCAAACTTTTCAAGCCTCAAGTTTGTTTAGATCAATCAGGAAATATCAATTTTAGATAAAATCGGTTGAAGGGTTTATACGCTAGCATAGACTTCGGACAGAAGTTTCGCCGTCAATCGACTTTTCTGTATAAAGGACTCACAAAACATAGATTTTTACTACACAACGTGATAGTAACTTACTATTCATAGGAAGAAGATTTATCTACTCGAATAACGCCCATATCCACTCGGAGGCGGATAGCGAAGCTCAGTACTTAAAGTACTTAAGCTGAGTACTTAAAGAGAAAAAGAGAACAAGTTACATAAATTGTTATTTTGTCATTTCTAATTTATCGCTTATTCAAAATCAACTTTTATCACTTTCATGAGTTAAGAATTGTCATTAGTCTCAATTTTTGTAGCAAGGATTGGTGGTAGTGGATGCTTTGTTTGAGATCAAACAATTGAATGCTTTTTCTGCTAATGCAAGCTAATTGAGAAAAAATGTCCAGGAATTTTGAAGTATCATATTGTAACGTTTCTCCGTGGTGAATTGAAACCAACTCAATATTTAAACAAAGAAGGTTTATTCGTGAACAATCATACACTAAATATACTTGGTCATATTTACAAATATTACACTATTATTATTCTTTACACAACCATCCATTCTCTTAATGGCATTAACAACAGCTTACAACTTCTATACACACTATTATAGTTTACACGTTCTCTTCTTCTTACAGTAATCAGCCAGTTCCGATGCACTGTTCCACGGCACTGACTTGACCATTCTCTGCACCGGACCACAATTCCCACTTGCGCAGACCACACCCACTGCGCACCACCAGGGTCCACATGCACTGCTGTTTACCGCGATGCCCACTTCAACAGCTCAGCTTCCACTGCAAGACTTCAAAACTGCCTGACCTGCTGTTTCCCCACTAGCACCCACAGCTTACCGCGATGCAAACCCTCACAGCCTCAGCTTCCACTGACAACTTCAGACGCTGCCTGCTGTTTCAACCGCTAGCACCACCTTCACCCAATGCACATTTCACAGCACAGGCTTTCCACTTCGGACCACACTGACGGACTGATGCTTCTCTCTACTCACTACGTCTTAACTACCCACTGACTCTACTCACGTCTTCTACTGACTGCTCGCGGTCCGCCGCAGCCGCGCATTATTATACCTTGCCCGCGACTTGTCTCAGGCACCGGCATGTTCTCGGCGTTTCCGCGGCTCACGATTAGTCCAACCGTCAGTTCGGGGGGGGGAGGGGGCGCCGAATGACGCAATCCTCGCGCAGCGAATTCCGGCATGTGATGCAATATTCGTAACAATATTATATTTTCGTGCCAGATGATAATGTGGAGGAAGCAGAATATACAAGCTATAGTTTGATGCCTTGTAACAACTTATGAGATTCTTATTATTTATTTTGTGAATGGCGAACGAAAAGGAATGTTCGAAGCATTAACGAAGAGATTATACGAACATACTACTTCCAATGTATCTGTACCAAGATAATAATAAAAAATATTTTTTTACATTTATTCCCAAAAATTGTGTTTTGTGTCAACGTCGTATTTATCCCAAGATTTATGAGCATTTTTAAAGTCTAAACCCGAAAGTCCGCAAAAATATTTTTAATAAACTCTCGAGCATTTTAATGGCCATTGCTATGGACGCGCTCATAAAGCGTTGTTAGATGGTTGGTTGGTAAAGGGTTAAGTTCGTGTTTACCAACGTAAATAACAAAATAGTGTTTGTTCAAAAAAATTGCCGTTTTCTGGCCTACAGTTACAAAACTTTTTCTTACGAAGTAAGTGCGAGAAAGTAAAAACGAAGCTAATAGACAAGAAAACAAGGCTTGATGTGATTTGATTTTTTAATTACAGCCTTTGCTAAAATTGAATAATGAAGATGACCGTAGAACAACACTCACCCATAGTTGATCCATGCATATGATACCAAAGTATAAAACACGCCCGTTGAGATAATTGGGGATCATACACTGGAGAGAAAAGTTGAGCAGTGTAATTTTCTGAAAATGGGCTAGACGATTCAACAAACATATAGTGTCCTGAAAAAATGCAAATCGCAGTAAGAAATCACATATTTACTCGGAACAACGCATCAATTTCAGAACACATATTATTACATACAAACACATATTTTCACATAACACATATTATTACAGAACAATATTACAGATAAATGTTTTGAAGTGATACTTTTTTTCCAAAGCAGTAAGACACTTTTTTAATTTAATTTAACCTAATACTGTTTTATTTGATTGAAAAAATGTGATAAATGAGAAAATAATTTATATTATCAGCAAAACTTGTTCGACATATTCTTAGTGCCAAGTTCAAATGAAAAAAATAATATTCATACAAAGCACAAATTGTTGTGAATTTATTTAAGATTTTTTCGACTACTGGGCTGTAGTTAAAAAAATAACAGTTTTACCATTTTTCCGACTTTAAATCACCTTGACTTTAAATATATTTTGAAACTGTCTGCAACTGTTCTGTGCACTTATTTTAGTGTTTATTATAAATTTGTATTCATTGACACAGCACCCAGTAATATTTTGACTTTGGAATGTAGTTGCAAATTATCATGATTTTAAAGCTTTCTAATCCTTTGTATAAGTATATCATACACAAAGGAAAGGCAGTTTATAATAAACCATCGACATTAACTCTTGTGTGATACTGGTGGAAAGAGCATTACATCCCAGTCGTAGATCGAACAGATTTCAGAAGAAACAATAGAAGTTTGCAGAAAGTGACATACAAAAACAAACGATTATTTCAACACAGATTATGATTGGGTACTCGGAAGCGATACATCGTAGGCCTTTTCGACTAGGTTTGCGTGACCCACGAGGAGATGACTGTTTTTAGCACAGGGAAATTTAGAAGTATTTTAGGGGACGGGTAGACGATAAATAGGGAAATGATGAGGGGTTCGGGTGGAAATCTAAGTTATATGGGGGACTGTGACGAAACGAAAACAGATTGAAACCGGAATATATTCCTAGGCAGTATTCTACAAAATACGACCTTTTTGATTATTCTTTTACAATTTTGCATATTTAGTTCCCTTGGGTGTCCCCATTCCATAGCAAAGATGCACAGAAAAGAGCAGTAGTCGAAATCAGTGCAAAATTAATTTGAAGAAAAATGCCGAAATTATCTTTCACGATAAAATTGAAGCGACAATTTTTTTCCGTGGATTTTAATCTCAATGCTCAGCATTATAGGAAAGGTTTCTCTTGCACAGTATCGGGCTTATAATGCAGTAAATCACATTTCAGAGCAGTTGAATGCGATTCAATTTTCAGTTTTCAAACAATTATTATTTACAAGTGCAGAGTTTTCGCACGTGTCCAAATACTCTAATTTATACGTATACTAGAATCGATTCTTAGGTAAGGGAAAGTACAACTTTTTTTCTAGTCTAGGCTTCCGCTGCCAGTCAGTAACTACTTGATCGCGTGCTAGGCCAAGGTGCCAACGTTTCACCCGCCCTTCTGTGACCTTCCTCCTGGAGAAAGCTCGCAGGTGCCAAAGACCGGGATAGTCTACCGGAAAGCCAAGTACTTGACTACAGTGTGTCTTAGTCTCCGCTACCGCGAATTTTCGTCAGAAAAAAGTTATTACAGGGCCCTGGTAACGGACAAGTGGATAAATCTAGGTGATAAATTTAGAAAAAGAGCTTCTAACGCGTCATGTTGACAGAATGCATGTTTTGTGGGTCCTTGATACCGAAAAATCGATCGACGGTTTTCGACGACGAGAATCCATCTGTCCGTCTGTCTGTGAACAGAAAGTGAAAGAGAAAATTAAATATGTCACGAAAAGGCTATACTTATATAACACGAGGAATTATAGAACATCGTGTAGAAACAAATGCACACTTTACTTTATTTCTAAACATCATAACGTAACACGCCAATGTTTTTTTTGTCTCCTTCGGAAAATACAATGACATTTTAAACTAGTGGTGCTACAGAATGACACAGACTTTCTCCTTCTTGTTAATTTCCTAATCTATTTCTTTTAGGCTAGTTAGTCTCGTTTCTCCACTCCACAAATAAGAGTAAAACAATCGGTTTAGACAACCAAGTCAGGTATAGATTAATGTTGAGGTGATTCATCCTTTTCTTCCGAACTCTTCACGTAAGCAGAAATCAATTTTTCGTTTCCATGTTTCCCCCTATATTTACGAGTAGCCTTTAAGAATTTGCGAGTTACATTTAAAAGAAAAAACTTACCATTCTGCCGCCTCTCTCTGGCTTCAACGAAATATTCCAACCCCCTTCTTTCACAAAAGGTGTCTGCGTTCCATCATTCAACGTTTTATCATAAATAGCCAATTCCCTGCAAGGCATTATGCACAAGTGATAAAACTTTTACAATGAGTTCGTGAAATGGCAAACTGTTTTAAGTTAAGATTCTTAACACTGACTGCCGATCTTGCGACAACGCGTAATGCTGAATTATCGCTGAAGAGTCAATGACACACTGGTGCGTGGTTATCGTAGGGTAGTATTTCAAATACAGTCACGAGCCGGCGCATGAAATACTACGTAGAATAATATGCAAATTATATATTTCCAAAATTTGCTGCAAGGAACTGCGTATCGCCCGCGAGAATCTGAATTACCTCTATGGCTGTCGTTTTCTAGGGAATATACAGTATATCGCTGTCGGAAATATGCAGAAGTAGTCTATGTTTGCATGGACGGCATAATGTGGTAGTAACAAAACTATCTTTAGAATCACTGCTGGAGAAGTAGAGGTAACAGGAAAAGAGAGAACAGGAGATACTTTGTGTAAGAACCGGAGGAATCGCTTCTCAGTAAATATCATTCTCGCTAGGATCAGGTGTCTTTCTCCATTGCAACGTTCCATCTGGGTCGAGCCAGACTCTATGCTCATCAATGTAGCCCATCTCTTCACACTCTATGGTAACGTTTTTAAAAGAATTCGATTTATCATTGTGCGTGATCTTGGCTGTCCGGGTGACGCCGCGTCGAAAGCTGTATTGCAGACGTTTCGACCATCTTGTTGTTGTCTTGCTCAGGGCTTGTATGCCTGAGGAAGACCACGACAAGATCGTCGAAACGTCGGCAACACAGTCTTTGACGCGGCGTCACCCGGACAGCCAAGATCATGCACATGACTCTGGCCGCGGAAGCCTACGACTTCATTCGATTTATCATTGTTTTCTCCGCTGATTACTTACCCTCATTTTATTTTATAGTGATACTCTATTTTTTTTACCCTGAAGTTTGCATTTCCAAACATCTATGAAATTATTTGGTTGAATATTTTTGTTTAATACCTAAAATTTCATTATTAGTGTTATTTTTACTTTTACTCATAATGTGGCAAATATTCACAAAACATATTGTTGGTACATTTTTTTATGAATATATTGTATTATACAGAACGTTTTGTCGTAATAATTTTCTTATATCATCTGATATTGGTTTCCTAAGACTTGAATTTACAGATAATCCGCGCGAGCAAATACGACCCAATTCATTCCGTAAATATCGGTGTGTTAATAATTTAACAATGCCAATTACTTGTTTACAATAGCTTTTTTCAAGCATGATAAAGGGGAATTAGAGCGGCGCCGCGAGATAGGATGTCTAGAAAGTGCTATTCTTCCGTTTTGGCCAGAAGTCGAAAAAGTAATAGCTTTTCAGCGCGCTCTAGTGCCGTGCCAGTATTTCAGAAATTTAAAGTATGTATTTTGTAGGACATTTTATCTACTTTAAATTTTTAAATAACAATTGTTTCGATAAAACGCATAGTTTTAAAGATATAAGCGAAAACTAAAACAAGGCGAAATTTTCAGGTTTTTTCGCAATTTTCTCTGTAAAGCCAACCTTTTGTGAGATGGCAAACATCAAATTCGAATTCATCACGCTCAAATCATATACAAACGTTGACACAAAAACTTCCGAATTTTTTTCCTGGATCAGATACCTTTTGACTGGACTACTATAGAAAAATCGCGAGGAAGCTAAGAAACATTCAAAAATGGTATACACTATCTGTGATAACTTTCGAAAGAAGTCTTAATTGTGTCTGGAATGCTTCAATATTTTTCATAATTGATTAATTTACTTTTTTTATTCTATAGCTTTTTAGAGTTTTAAATGAAAAGATTTGATTTCTGAAAATTTGCATTTTTATTTTAAGTTGATTTAATGTTCACAACTTTGGTTTGAGGGCCGAACCAAATGTACCTCTATATTCCCTGTGAGTCACTCTATAACACCCCCAAGGATAATTGATGTGATTCATGTATGAATGCTATGGTCTTTTCCAGGTTTCGACCGTCATTCATATATGAAACTCATAATCACAATAATACAATTTATCTCAGGGATTTATTTTCCAATTTACTCAAAGAGTGGACCTAGAACTTCAGCGCTCATTATGAGTTCTCGACTGATAGAATCTTTACTCGGGGAATTTAGGACCGATGGAGACGTATTTGTTTTGTTTCTAAAAGAACAACACCAAATGTATGCTAATTACTGTAGCTCAACAATTTCCTACGCTATTTATTATCATTTAAAATATCTTGGGGTCAAAGTTATATTCGATTTATATTTTCATGTTAACAAGAACACACAATGTAAATATCTAACTATTGTACTACTGTACAATGATAAACAATCACATTCACACTATTTACATACAACAATCATTCATCACGTTCAAACTCATATCTCTGCATTATTACTTAACACAGAACCCATCTAATATCACGTATAAACTGATTCTATTAATTTATATCCAATCATGGCCTTGACCAAATTTATAATGTCACTTTTCTTTGCCAAAATTTTCACTTCTTTTTCAGAAGGCTACACAGCATCCTTGAACGACGAATTAGTCGCGAACAATTCCTCACTCGAAAGATTTTAAAGTTTTAATTTCCTCCCTCGAGCAAATTTTGAATTAAAACGTCCAAATTTACATTCCCTACATCACCATCAAATCAATTATTAATTATATCCGGAAAATTATTCAAGTCATCAAATACGTC